GCTGCTGAGGCTGCAGAGCCACTCTTTGTAGAGCGTCTCCAGGTGGGCGGCGGTGGTGGGGCTGCAGTTGAGCAGGAGCAGGGCGTCGGTCAGTCTAATGAAAATGTAAACAAAGTAGGTTAGAGAAAGATTTGGCGGCTTTTCGAACAGCTTTTCAGTACCTTGAGAAGGTGTACTCGGTGTTCTTGAGGTAGAGCGCAAAGATGGCCAGCAGGCCCTTCTCGATGTCGTACTGCAGCTGGCGGGCGCCGTCGTGGTTGAAGTAGTGCTCGAGGATGATGCGCTCAAAGAAGAGCCGTTGCACCTTCTCCGCGACGTCGTAGAGGAAGCTGTGGAAGAGGTCGGTGGAGAGGGCCCGCTTGAGGGCGGCCAGCTGCATGCTGATGTGGTAGACGAGGGTGGCGCCCGCCTGGCTGATGCTCAGCGATGGCTGCTGCTGTTGCTGTTGTTGTTGGTGTTCATCTTCACCGATGTTCAGCTTCATGCCGTGCCAGCTGTGTTTTGCAAAAGTGTGAGAGAAAGAAAGTTTCTTAGAAATGAGTTATACCAAGCAGATTAAAAACTTACTTCAACTTCTTGTACTCGATAATGTCCAGCGTCACGTCGGCGATGATGTTATTCTCGATGCGCTCAAAGATCTCCTCGATCATGTGCTGCAGCGTGCGAGCGGTGGGCGAGAAGACGGTCAGGTCCTGGCCGTTCTCCGTCAGCGTCTGCATGAAGTACTGCAAAAAAAAGTAGAAAATAAAAAACCTTATTACAGATTTCAATTCATCACCAGATAAGCTCAACTTACCGATCCGCCGCCGTTCTGCCACTCGCCGACCAGCGTCAGCAGGTAGCCGAAGGTGTTGAGGAGGGAGTAGAACTTGCGCGTGAAGGGCCACCGCTCCTCGTAGACGTGCACCACCTGGCTGAGACGGAGGCAGAAGTCGTCCACGGTGTCAATCAGCAGGTGAATGATGCGCAGGCGGTACCGACTGAGCGGAATGTAGGTCGAGCGGTCGATCAGGTTGAGCAGGAGGAGCGAGAAGCGGTCGGCCGCCTCGCAGACGATCAACTGACGAGGTTCATTTGAAGGTGAAGATGGATCTGAAGTTGATTCCTCCTCTTCAATGATGCTATTGTCGCCGCCGCCGTAGACCACCGTCCAGGAGGTCTCCGACTGGAAGATCGAGTCGACCAGCTCATTCAGGCGGTCCTTCTCCAGGCGGAGGAAGCGCTGAAAGAGCGCCTCCTCCTCGTTGAAGAGCACCGCCATCGGGTTCAGCGAGGGCCGCGCCTCGAAGATGCCCGGCACCAGGTAGTTGACCTGCTTGTTGAAGATGATCACCTCGTCGAGGGTGTGGCTGAAGAGGCGGTCGTCCTCCTCGANTTCTCCAGGCGGAGGAAGCGCTGAAAGAGCGCCTCCTCCTCGTTGAAGAGCACCGCCATCGGGTTCAGCGAGGGCCGCGCCTCGAAGATGCCCGGCACCAGGTAGTTGACCTGCTTGTTGAAGATGATCACCTCGTCGAGGGTGTGGCTGAAGAGGCGGTCGTCCTCCTCGAGGGCCGAGGAGGTGGCCACGTCGTGGCGGAGCTTCGCCTTCACCAGCTCCAGCAGGTGGCAGGTCAGTTGGAACTGTAAGCAAAGACGAGGACATCAGCTGATTTCGAAATTGGTAAAAGAATAAGATCTCACACCTTTGCACTCTTGACGTTCTCCGCCTCGCCAAAGTACTCCTCCAGAATCGGGTCGACGGTACGGCTGAGAAAGGGCTCATTGCGGGTGATCCACTGCTCCACCTGGCAGAGGTACCACTCGGGCTGGGAAATAGAGAAACAGAAACAGGTGTGAGATTTGGTGGTAGTTAACAAAATAGCTCTGCTTACATTTTCAATGCTGTTCAGCTTGCTCTGCTCGGTGAGAAAGTGGTAGTTGAAGCNCCAGAATCGGGTCGACGGTACGGCTGAGAAAGGGCTCATTGCGGGTGATCCACTGCTCCACCTGGCAGAGGTACCACTCGGGCTGGGAAATAGAAGTGTGATCAAGTGTGAGATTAGATGATCAAGACTAAAACAAAATTGGCAGTGATTTGCTGCTTACATTTTCAATGCTGTTCAGCTTGCTCTGCTCGGTGAGAAAGTGGTAGTTGAAGCGTTTGACTAGCGGCACGGCCATCAGCTTGATGGGAAGGTGAAGGAGAAAAGGTGGTGCAAGGCCGCTCTTAACTTCATCGCCCTTCACCTTGACTGCCGAGCTGAAGATCTCCAAAGTGGGCAGCAGATTCTCGGGAATGCTGCCGTCGTCGTCGACGCCCTCCTCCTCCAGGCCGCCCTTAAACTCGCCCGTTTGCAGCTCCAGGAGGGCGCGGAAGAGCTCCACAAAGAGCCGCCGCTGCTTCGCCTTCAGCTCCTCCTTCTGCTTCTGAAGGACGACAGAGGAGGCTCCGGTCCTCAGCTTCCCCGTGTTTGTCTCCTCCGCCTCGGCGACCAGGGCGACGGTGGGCCACTGGACCGCCTCAAAGGAGGCGATGAAGAGCTCCTGGAAGAGGTCGAGCAGCCTGGCCTGCCAGTGGCTGCACTGCTCAAAGACGTACTGGAACACCGGTGATTCGGAAGAAGAAGAAGAAGAAGTGGAGTTTTCCATTGAAGAAGGAGAAGATGTTGTTGTTGTTGATATTCCACCTCGAACTAGCACATTCAGACAGCCGACCATCTGAAGGTAGGCCCGACGAAGGCTGGCCACGCCGCCCAGCAGCCCGTCAATGGGCAGCTGTTTCTGCCTGTGCTCCAGGCGAAGGGCGTCATGTAGCGGGCCCAGCGACGCCGACTGGTCGGCCACCTGCTTCAGCAGGCGGTACAGCCCTAGGAGCTGCTCGCTGGAGATTAGCCGCGGCAGAAGAAGGTTGTCGTCGTCGCCATCAGCTCCGCCACTGATCAGACTGCCAAGGCTGCTCAGACCTCCTCCCTCTTTTGTTGACTTTTGCTGCTGAGCCTTCAGCTGCTTCAAATTGGCCTTCGCCTCGGTGATGGTCTCCTGGAAGTGGGCCACAAACTGGGCGTACTTCTTCTGCTGTTGTTGTTGCTGCTGCTGTTGTTGATGATCTTCTGCTTCAATAGACGACGATGGTGTCAGTTCACTGAAGAGCCTCTCTCGGTAGTCGGCCAGTCGCTGGAGACTGCTTTGGTAGCTGCTGCTGCTGCTGCTGCTGCCGTTCGCTGGGCTGTTCATCCTCCGTGATCTACCNTGCTGCTGAGCCTTCAGCTGCTTCAAATTGGCCTTCGCCTCGGTGATGGTCTCCTGGAAGTGGGCCACAAACTGGGCGTACTTCTTCTGCTGTTGTTGTTGCTGCTGCTGTTGTTGATGATCTTCTGCTTCAATAGACGACGATGGTGTCAGTTCACAGAAGAGCTTCTCTCGGTAGTCGGCCAGTCGCTGGAGACTGCTTTGGTAGCTGCTGCTGCTGCTGCTGCTGCTGCCGTTCGCTGGGCTGTTCATCCTCCGTGATCTACCTCCGTCATCTCCGCCTTTGGTCTTCGGGAGTAGAGGCATTTTCTGGCTGGAGAAGACGATAAAAGAAAAGAAGAAGAAAATGAAACAAATGATTAGAAAAACTTTCCAGAAACTTTTGTAAGCCTTCCCGGCAAAGTGTCGGCAAAAAGCACCGTGGTGCTGGCGGCACGTGTGCGCACCGAACGGTCTCGCGCACGCACATAAAACGTTGATAACAAATGAGCTGGCGACAAGCGACAAAAAATAGAATCAGTTATGCTGAAGAGCAGGTGAAGAGAAGACGCGCTTTCCAGCTCATCTTTTGCTTTCTTCCATTTTGTTTGAGATTACTACACANAAAAAATAGAATCAGTTATGCTGAAGAGCAGGTGAAGAGAAGACGCGCTTTCCAGCTCATCTTTTGCTTTCTTCCATTTTGTTTGAGATTACTACACACATACTCATCTCATTTCATCGCGCCTTGACATTTCACTTTCAGTTTCTACTTTGTAGAACTTGGTACACTTCTTCCATTCTTCCATTCCAAATTCTTCCTTCTTCCTTCGACTTTGTCCCATGAACAAAAGACAGCAGAACAACAAGAACAAGAAAAGTAAGTAATCGACATGCAATTCTGCTGCAATCTGTTGCAATCCCCTCTAATTCCCCCTGAATTCTACCTTTTTCCAACCACCAAACAGTGAGCAACAAAGAGAGCAAGAAGACCTCGGCCAAGAGCAGCAGCAAACCGCCGAAGAAGCCGAGTAAGCCGCGCAAGCAGAGCCCAGCCGAGGATGACATCTTCACGGCGGAGTACATCGTCGCCGAGCGCCTGGTCACCCCGAAGGGCCGCAAGAATGGCAAGAATGGCGGTGGCCGTCCGCTGCGCCAGTTCTACATCAAGTGGCACGGCTACTCTGACGTGCACAACACCTGGGAGCCGGAGCAGAACCTCCTCGATCCGACCATCCTCGCCGAGTGGCGTGAGCTGCATCCCCTTTCCTCCACTTCCACTTCTTCTGAGGCTGATAAGAGCAAGGGGCTGAAACGCAAATCGCCAGCCAGCTCGGAGGAAGAAGAGGAGGTGGTGGTGGAAGTGAAGGACGAGGACGAGGAGGA